TTTWWYYTYYTTTTTTTTTTTTTTTTTTGAAAGAATCACCTGTGTATTTATACTAAGACAGCAAATAATTGCTAAATATACAACAGCTTTCCTATATTATATGTTTTTTGCTTCATATCTGATTTCATATGACTGTTATTTTGCAGTTAAGAATTGTAAATGTCTGACTCCACGTGGATGCATAATGCGGACATTTAAGTAAGTACATTAGTAAATGATTAGAGGTTATTGCCATTTTATGACGCTAATACGGGTTTATATTGGCGGCTAGTTGGGGAAAATATATCCCGTATTTGCCTTAGTCGCGAAGCCGTCAATATAATCCCAAATTGGCGTCTCAAAATGGCAATACGTTTTGTACCGCGATTCATGATATCGCGAAGTAACTCTGTTCTGATAATACGGGTTTATATTGGCGGATTTCTGCTGATCAAACTCGCTATAAAACGAATTGCTATACTTAAAAAATTTGTGCAAACCCTTACCTACTATTTATTCTGCTGCTAGCACTAGTGGTCCCGAGGGTCTTCAGTTCTTCACTATCAGAGCATTGTCGTGTCTCTTTTGATACAAAAACAAAAAAAACCCCAATTACATAGTTAGTATACCCTGAATTCCAGAGGCGCTTTCGCAAAAGTACTTTTCAGTAATAGCTTTCTTTCTCGCGGGAGAAACTCCGGACCACTTCACCGTGATGTTCACTTCTATGGTGACCTTTGTTTCTTCCTTTCTTCAATTCCCTTCTCCTCTCCCCTTCTCATCCCACCCATACCCGACACATAGTAGAACCATCCCCGACCTAAACCCGACCCAAACCCGAATCATACCCGACCCATACCGGGACACATATAGTCCTGATCCATTACCGACCCATGCCCGACCCATGCCCGACCCATCCCTGACCCATACTCAACCCATAAACGATCCACACCCGACCCATACCCGAACCCAAACCCAAACCCAAACCCAAACCCATACCCGAACCCATACCCGATCCATATTCAATCCATGCCCGATCCATTACCTTCATTAAACATATGCGGCACAGACGTCTGCGGCACACATATATATGCGCAGCGCAAACTACTCTTGTTATTTGTCCGTCTTTTATTTTCGTTTGTAAATATATAAAAAACGTTTTTGTACTTTTCTATCAATACATCATGTGTCAATAAAAGTGGAGTTGAAGTTGAAAAACTGAGCACAAAAAATTTGACTTCTTGTACCCTCACACAGAACAAGAGTACCAGGGTTTTCTGATTGCAACCTGAGAGATCTTCAAAAGATTGATGATAAATGTTTGTACAACGTACCAGTCAAGGTATTGAATCGTCCAATCTTGTATAACTCAATATAAATAGCAAAAAGGTCGTTGGATTGTCGCTGGATAGCGAAGCTACAGAGATTACGGCAAATCAGCAAGAAAAACAGTTTTTGAGCTAAGAAACAGCACGATAAAAATTAAATGCGATAATGCTATAACCTATGTTGTAGAATTAAACAACAATGGTAGTTTTGTATCAATTCTGTTCCAGAGCATTAACCCTCAATGTGGAAATGGAATCAAGGAGGTTGACGAAGAATGTGACTGTGGCACAAAAGAGGTACTTTTATATATACAGTATATAGTAGATGGTGACAGAGCAGAAAAATGACAAGGTTGCTACTTTCGCATTTTTTTCTTTCTCTCTCATTCATGCTAAAAAACGTTTAGTGTTTCATTCGTGTCTCTTGTGCTTTAAACTTTTCAAACAAATTCTGCTAACCTCGAGCAATTCTACTTCGATCAAAATATCATCTCTCCCAACGTTCAGGGCGTTATATCTCAAATACACATTCCTTAAATTTCCCCAAATTTTGGTGTTTTGTTTTGTCAGCCCCAAAAGAGTCTGTTTATGAAATATAAAGCTTATTAACGCATAAACGTCGAAAGTAGAACCCRTTTTTCTGCCCTGTCGTAGATGGTAGCACTTAATAGCCACTGTCTAACAATCCTCTGCTTCTATGATCGAAATAGAATTTAGAAGTTGATTTTTGGAGGAGGGAGGAAGACCGGAGAAACCGGAGAAAAACCGTCGAAGCACAGGAGAGAACCAACAATCAACTTTACTCACATACGACACTTAATCGAGGAATCAAACCTTGGTCGCATTGGTGCGAGGCGAGCGCTATCGCCACTACGCCACCCTTTCAGAGAAGCAATGATTCGTAGCTTGTACAGATTTTCAGTCCAAATACAAACACACAATACAACTCTGAAGTTGATGTATTTGTTCTTAGAATTGTGCCATTGTGGATCCATGCTGTAACCACAAGACTTGTAGACTTCATTCTTCGTCTCAGTGTAGTAATCAGCATGACAAATGTTGTAAGAACTGTCAGTACGCACCCACTGGATCGATATGTCGAAAGGCTGAAGGACCGTGTGATGTAGCCGAGGTTTGCACTGGACAATCAGGCCAAGTAAGAGAACAATATTGAATACACACCATGTGTAACATTCAAACAACGTTGCGCGTGGCTGGCATTCAATGAAGTAGACTTCCTTGCTTCCTTGCTTCCTTGGTTCCTTGCTTCCTCGCTTCCTCGCTTCCTTGCTTCCTTGCTTCCTTGATTCCTTGCTTCCTTGCTTCCTTGAGTGCTTCCTCGCACGTTACTAGCTTCCCTGTTTTCTTGCTTGCTTACTTCTAGTTCATTTCTTGCTACCTTGTCATATCTAAATCACTAATGTTTCGATGACTGCTCACTTAGTGTCCTCCAGACGATCACCAATCAGATGGAACAGCCTGCCATTTTAATGATTTAGTAAGTATTTCACAGTAAGCTAATACAGTCGAGTCATACGATGATGATAATAAGTAACTGTGTTACTTTGTTGTTAAAGGAGCTGATTGGAAACAATATTGACAACAGCATCAAAATATCAAGACTTCCAAGTCGAATAAAAGCCCGTTTTGTTAGAATCAATCCACAACACTGGCAAAAACATATCTGTATGAGGACAGAGATCTATGGATGTGATAAAGGTGAATTTTGCTGGAGACGTGTTTCTGTATCGAATAGGGCTTATAACATGACAAAACTTCTAATTATTTCGCTGGTAATTCAGTTCGAAATTAAGGGAACACCCGACTTGAAAACAGAGGGCTATTTGTTCAATAGACTTTTTTTGTCGAGGTGCACTATTATATTAGAGATCTAATGTCATCTTAAAGAGTATCATTTATTTGTTTAACGGTTGCTCAGTAATTAGAGTGAAGTCATTAAACCAGTGAAATAGATATTAGACTAATACACTTTAGTAGACCTTAATTTAATTTTTTTCTTTTGTGTCTATTTGACTATTACACGTTGACTATTCAWTTTTATTTCACGGGTTAAATGCCTTCACTCTATGAGAAGACACATGAATATGGATATRACTTAAACATAGAATCGTATTGTCTAGGGAATGACACGTGGTCTGAAATGGGTAAATTTTGCATCAAAACGAATTACGTCTTTTCCCATCAAAGAATCCGATTTCATTCCCGGAGTTCTTTTACTTTCGCTTTGAAACACTCAATTATTTTATCTCCTATTACTCATTATTCTTTCTATTTTTGTGTTTTAGTGCGTAAAGCTAGCATTACAACACCATTACGATCCGACAACAATTTGTTTGTTGACGCTGACAACGGTTTCTGTGATGCAGACGACGTTTCCGAGCTCGTTTTTAAACCCTTAGAACATGTCAGAAATACAAACATACTGTTTAAGTTGACCAATGAAGGAATCTTGATACATCAATGCACTGGAAACATGGTTTGCCCAAAAGATAGTCTTGCTACATATGGAACAAAACTTGTGGTTGCAAAAAGCTGTACTAAGCAGTCAGCCAAATTTCAAAGAGTAGGTAAGTGACATCCAGTATCATTAGGATACCTTTAAAACTTCCAATCTTATCAATACCCTATACTTCTGAGCTGATGCAACTCAAAGATCGAACCCTGAA